TTCTGTGATTCCCTTTTAAATGCAGCACAGATAGAAAACTGTTTGAAAAATGGTATTTTGTCACCCTATATATTTACTCTTCCTCTTTAAGGAAGCCCAAGTTCTTGCTCTACTGATCAAAACAAATACACTGGAGGGTAGGGCTAGGATTCAGAAGGACCTAGATTAATTGGAGTGTTACAGGTTCGTAAGGCCAAAAAGGTTCCCACTTGTGAACCTGGGGACCTAACAGTTATCTTCATCCATTCACTCTCCGGCCACACCTTTGATGGGAGAATATATAAATGAATTAATAAACAGAAGATAATTGCAAATCACACAGCTGATTTTATATAATGCTCGTTAATTCCTTACCGAAGTTACCTGTTGTGGGCTTGCCTGAAGCAATAATCAACAAAGTCCCAATGCACAGTCTTTTATGCCTGGTGAGATACCAACAACTACTCTCACCCTATATTGTCTCTTCTCTATTTTTGGTTTTCCAGGGTGTCCCTGAGAGCCACATCTTCCCGTCTACTGGAGTGGTCTCACCCCTCACTCTTACAGGTAAGTCGTCTCCTTCTCCGGAGCAGGTTGTCAGTTCTAACAAGTCACTGTCGTGTTCCCGTGCCTCCGCACAGGCTGCCTCTAGCTTCCTGTTTGCTCTCTCTCACACTCTATTCCCCTTCTGAGGGTTGAGGCTTGTAGGTGGTGCACTTTTCAATGCTTTCCTGTTTCTTTCTGGTAAATGATCAGTATTTCTCTTTACAAGTATTTGAATCTTCCACTGCAGGACACCATTTGATGATGTTATTTCCTGAGGCCAGCATCTCTGACTCCTGGTAAGTTTACTCATATCACTTTGTAACAGGGCATTATCTCCCTGTTATATGGAGAACTGGCCCAAAAGGAATCTCATGAGGTTCAAAAAGGACAGGTGCAAAGTCCTGCACTAAGGCAGAACAATCCCATGCACTGGTACAGGCTGGGGGCGGACTGGCTGGGCAGCAGCTCTGCAGAAAAGGACTTGGGGGTTACAGTGGACAATAAACTGAATATAAGCCAGCAGTGTGCCCTTGTTGCCAAGAAGGCTAATGGCATACTGGGCTGCATGGTAAGTGTGTTGCCAATAGGTCAAGGGAAGTGATTATTCCCCTTTATTCAGCACTGGTGAGGTCACATCTGGAGGACTGTGTTCAGTTTTGGGACCCCCACTACAGAAAGAATGTGGACAAATTGAAGAGAGTTCAGCAGAGGTTGACAAGAATGGTCAGGGGGCAGTGTCAGATTATGACATGCTGAGGCCTTAAACTATGTCCAGTTTAAGAGGCCCCATATGATAAAAATAATCCAATGTACAGTATGTATATTTTTGTCATATTAGAATGAAAATGTACATATTTAATTTTCCCATATGTCCTTTATCTCTGTTATTTATCAACTTATTATTATAAAACTTGTTATTGAGTCAGGTTTTTTTTCTTATTTAGAGGTCCCTCATATTGTGGGGCCCTAAGCTGTAGCTTAAGTAGTTTAAGCCTAAATCTGGCACTCTGAGGGGGCTGGGGGAAATGACTTATGAGGAAAGACTAGGGGGACTGGGCTTATTTACTCTAGAGAAGAGGAGACTGAGAAGAGACTTAATAGCAGTCTTCAACTACCTGAAAGTGGGGGGTGGGGGTTGAAAAAGGATGGAGCTAGGCTATTCTCAGTGGTGGCAGATGATAGAACAAGGAGCAACAATCTCAAGTTAAAGCAAGGGAAATTTATTGTTAGAGATTAAGAAGAATTTTCTCATTAGAAGGGTAGTAAACACTGGAACCCGGCTAAAACAAAGATTAGGCTGGGATGATCTAGTTGGGGATGGTCCTGTTTTGAGCAGGGGGTTGGACTAAATGACCTCCTGAGGTCCCTTCCAACCCTAACTTTGTGGGATTCTATGATTTACAAATGCAGGTTCTCCATAGCTATGGGGCTATGACAATGTACAGCGGCTGAGAATTCTCCCACTGTGTGGAAGAATGTGTTGGAATCTAATCTGAATCATGCAATATCAGTAGAATTATTAAGTAAATTCCTGCT